GGAGCCCTTCCAATGACTTCCCTGTAATCCTCTGTAACGCCTCTTTTCGAATCGAAGCAGCTCTCATACAATCACCAAGCTTTGATTCCAACGAATATGATGGTGTTTTACCCTGAACAACAGATTGTATAATCTCCTCGTCATCTTCCGATAATGCGGGCATAATTATTGGCGCAGGCTTCTCCGTTTGGGGCAATTTTTCGAACAGGTGGTGGAGGCACAACGCAGCCAAGAGTAGTGGCAGCAGCACATGGTCCACGGCGGCTATCTTCCTCAATAATAAGCTGCTCAGCATTCTCATCCTCAATATCCCATGAATCACTATTCGACCTGGACACAAACGACTGAACAAACCCAATCCCAAAGAAACCCAAAAGATATATAACGGAAGCAATCAATGACACCATAGCTAACAATTCAGAAAGGGTAACCACATGAAGAGGAATAGAATTACGGATCTTCTCACGCCACCTTACGAGAAGAAAATACATAACAGAGAAAAACATGGTGAAAAACAACCCAGTGGTTAGGTACAATGGGAGTGGAAGCGCATCAGATGCTTTAGGAGAAGAAACTTCTTGTTTCAGAGGTTCGCCGGCGGAAGCATCTTTAGATGTGTATAGAGGCTTAACAGGTCGCCGGCGAACGTCCATTGTAAATTTAGTTGATTTTCCGGTAGGAACACCGGTGTTTTGCCAAATTTGTACTTTTTGAGTACTTGTGCTCTGTTTTCTGGTGATTGTTGAACTTTGTTCTAAGAAATTGGGTGGATATTGGGTTATGGGGTGGATAGTTGGGTTATGGGTTAAAAAAAAGGGGTCAAACGGGTAGTTCAATAGGAATAAGACACGTGTAAGAAATTAGGGGTCCGTTAGTGAGAGGGGTATATGTGTACCTATAATTGGACGGAAGGGGCATATGTGGACGCAAAGTATAACGGAGGGCATATACGTACCATTTATTAAAGTTCGGGGGTAAATCCGTCCCTTTTCCCTTATATGTATGTCTATTGATGGTGTTTTAATAGGGAATAAAATTTAGAATGACTATTTGGACTTGAATTATAGAATGAAATTTATTATTCTCAATTTCTAGGGTTTACTTTATAGTCTTAGACGATTATTGTGGAACAAACAAGATTCACTTGCAAGTGCTGCTTTAATCAAAAGTTTATCTTATTCTCTTTTACATTCATTTATTTCCAGTAGTTTAATTTATTATAATTAGTTTCATACACTAGTTATGAGCAGTGAAATTAATAACTAGGATTAGGGAACTTAGGTTAGGAATGATGATCATGAATCCTCTATGATAAAATATTCATTTATAAAGGGGTGATTATTGTGTATTAAATTCCTTTCATACTTAACTCTTTCTTTAAAGATGCTTGACAACCATCCACAAAGAAAATCGTCCATATATTCTGACCTGCTTGACCATAGATGTACTAACTAGGAAAAAAAAGTTCATTGACATGAATTTTGTGCTACCAACCACCATCTAATAACTTGAGACCAGAGGAGATAGCTAACTTGAGGATTTTAACGGATAAAAAAATTAATTTGATACCTAAATGCCTGAGAAGAACTTAGGATGATAACCTCTTAATCGAGTTGAAAGGCTTTAGGAAAATAGATTTATCATATTTGCACGGTGAACACCTAATTGAATGAATAGTAAAGTATTTGTTGGAGTTCCTATATCTAAGAGCAGTAACCATATTTCGTCTTCTTTGTTGAATAAAAACTAAGTCGTTAGTAGATCATAGTTACAAACCTTAATTCTTCCATAATAGTTACTTTCTTGTGTCTCAATAGCACATGATAAGCAATCTCTAGTACACTCTCTTTGGATTATACCTCAATCTAGTTGGGTTACTATATTTTAGATAAACCATTTTAACCCCTTAAAAAGGGTACAGTTTGAGCGACATCAACCTACACCTAAAAATATGTGTTGCTTGCATATCACATGTGTATGTGTGATAATTTGTTCTTGAACTCTTATTTTATGCTCATGTCCACTTTTCCAAGAAGAGGAAAAAATCCTTTGAAGATGTTGTCTCTATTGAAAGAGTGTTCACTTCTAGAGTTTTAAATATACATATACATATATCTACTATAATAAAATATTATATTGTTATATTATTATTATTTATTTATTTTTGACTAAAGTGTGGAATAAGGTAGACGAAATCTCTACATACGATAATTTTCTTGTGATTTTAAATCAATAATGGTATGTTTACTACTTATGTAATTAAATCAAAGTTCAATCCTAGTGATTTTGGAATTGAGCTAACTTGGTTTGTTATACTTTAAGGTCATTCATACCTTTGTCAGTAGTATATGAATTGTATCATGTTTACTTTTGACTCTACTAAATCTTACTTATATATATCTAAGGATAATTTAGACCTTAGTAAAAGAGTAAATTTGAACTTTTTCCCTAACTAAGAAGACAAATGGAATATACTGGAGTTTTATTAGCCAAGACAAATACAAGATAATGTGCTGAAAAATTAAGTATGACCATATGAATAACCCAAAAGTATAACGGTTTATAAAATTAAGGCTCTTATCTTATTACGAACCACTTTCTGGTTTGGTAATTTATGGGGGAAAAATGTACTTTTATAGCTAATAATTAATCATCAAAGTGATTTATTTAGAAAAGGGATAAAGAAGCATTTGGTGCTATGTGCACATAAGAAAATAGTACCACTTAATTGTTATTTGATTCTCCTAAGAAAAAACTCTATATATAATGATTTTTTAAAATTTAATCCATGCTAAATTGGTAAAATTTTGAAATTGAATATCTCACTTTTTTCTATTTTTGCTTGTATATCTATAATTAATTATATTTATTAAAAGTATACTTATTCAGATTTATTAACTTTTTTGGTCAAATTTTTTAGTTCAAATTCTATCTGAAAATTTTGTCATTTGTAGTTTTTTTCCTATATAGATAAAGCTCACATTAAGACAGTTCACATTGTGCTAATTATTTATAGACCTCTTCTTAAGTCCTAATTTGTTACTTCCAACACAAAAAAATAAATAAATTATGGAGTTTAAATAAAAAAAATATCAATGTTACAAGCAAAGGCAAAGCACAAGAACAACTCAAAAATGTAAGATTCCTTTTTCTTTAATTCAAAGATCAAAATTTCTTGTTTTATATAATTCAAAAATAATTCAAGATACATAAACTAAACAGAATTCAATTGGATTCCTTCATTGAAATTTAGGGATCGCGTTCTATCAGATACATTAAATAAATGATATGGAACATGAAAGTTTAATCAGAAAAACGTCAAAAGAAAATTAAAAAATCACTTAACCAAAAAAAATTCTTTTAACTCGCATCACTCTTTTTACCTACATTATAACATAACTAATTTGATTGATTTATATTATTATTAATTTTTTAATCCTAATTCTATTTAGATTTTTTTTTTTAGGGGTTTGACGGCCAGTAATAATTCCTTTTTGGGAGAAGGAATTTTGCTTAAAGAATAGTTCATTTAAATCATGGAAAAATTTCTTGCGTTACAAGGAAAATACTCGTTTTTATTATGAAATACTAAATTGGGATGATTCAGTTGGTGAAAAAGCATTTTATGATGCTAAAAATAAATTTTAATGCTGAGTTTCGTAATTTGCCTTTTGATAATTTTGAGCTGCAAAATCCTGATCACTACATCGATGAAATCGATTGGAATCCAAAAATTGATACAAATTTACTTGAGGAGCTAGAATTTGCGTTAATGATGAAAAAGAAAGAAACTGATTTGGTTCAAGTCAGGACGCTAATTGAGGAATCGTTCCTTCTGGTTGGGATGTTGATGACGATGTTATAAAAATAGTTTAAATGGTCTCATTGTGGGTGATCATAGCAAGTCTGGAGAAGGTGTTAAAGTTTCACCCCCATGACAGACAGAGACAGAGCTAAGTGGGGGTTTCTGGGTTTGGATGAACCCGTAGCTTTTTTCAGTAGATTATATATAGAAAATTAAATAAATATATATATGTATATTAACTTGTGCACCTCTTAACAAAATTGGAAAATAATCGAAAGAGCCTTGTTTAGAAGTCTTATGCTTTGATTTTTCTTTAGAATTTTGTCTTGGAATTTGAGAGAGGAAAAGGAGGAGTTAAAAGATGGAAATATGATTATTTTTTTAGGATTTTATAGAAGTTGAGAAAACTGTTTTAAGGTTTTCCTAGTTGTATAAGGACAAGAAAAATACTTTTTTTCAATAATTTCCATGTCGGTCAAAACGGAACTGCACTGCATCATTTAGTAAAATGATCATAACTCTCTACTCCGAACTCAGGATGATGAAAACTTGGTGGAGTTGGATAAAAGATTCATAGACCTTTAATTTTATAGGTCAAGGGTCACCCAACTCTTCATATTCTATTAGATATGATCATTCGAAGTTGATCCAAGTAAAATCTTATATGGAAACTCAATCAATAAGGACACGTTCAACTCAACTTTGTGTTAGATGATTCTTATGACCTTAATTCTATCTCCAAATATTATCCAACACTAAGGAATTAACTTTAGAACCTATGCACAATTAAGAATCATTCGGTACAAACTCTCCCTTACATTTATGAAGAATAGTTCTAGTATGAGCTTAGAGTCTTTTGGGGTGTTACAAAAAAGCTCTAAGTGTGGGGTGTTGATTTTAGGTGTATTTATGCATTCAAACATCATATTTTTAGCTTAATTTTGAGTATAATCTTATGAATAATTTTGTATTTATTGATGATATGTTGTAATGAGATAATGTACATGATTAGGTTTATTTCAGGACAAAAATAGAAAGAAAAGACCCGTATGATGGATTGAAACACAAAGCAAAGTAATTCGGACTAAAATAAAATAAAAATAGCTCCAGAAATTACAGGACCATGAGATAAGCCTCGCACCTCACCTATATGTGAACTACACCTCAAAGACTCAACAAAAGAAGGCCTAATGCGAAATGGACTCCGTTCGTGAGGCCGTGCCACTCGCGCCGCAACCTCTTTGTTTGTTAGACTGGGTTTGACCCAGTCAATGCATAATATAATTGGAATAAGAATTTCACCCCTATTATTATAAGTATGTCTATTGATGATGTTTTATGTCTATTGATGATGTTTAAAAGGGGAATAAAATTTAGAATGACTATTAGGACTTGAATTATAGAATGAAATTTATTATTCTCAGTTTCTAGGGTTTGTAACAACTCGCAATTTGAAGTAACTAGGAAGAAGCTAATAATTGAAAATAGTCATTTTTGGAAAGAACGGAAATCTGGAAATTTGTTCAAGTTAAGAAAAGTTGAGTTATGGTCAACTTCAAACGGCCATAACTCCTAGCTCAAGATGATTTAGGTGTACTTCAAGATATGG